ACACACTACACACACTGTCCACATACACTGCCCCTCATACACACACTACACACACTGCCCCCCATACACATACTACACACACTGCTCCCATACACACACTACACACACTGCCCCACAAACACTGCCCCCATACACACACTACACACACTGACCCACAAACATTGCCCCCCATACACACACTACACACACACTGACCCACAAACACTGCCCTACAAACACTGCCCCTATACACACACTACACACACTGCCCTACAAACACTGCCCCCATACACACACTTCACACACTGTCTCACAAACACTGCCCTCATACACACACTGTCCACAAACACTGCCCTTACACACACTACGCACACTGCCCTACAAACACTGCCCCCCATACACACACTACACACTGACCCACAAACACTGCCCCCAATACACACACTGTCCCAAACACACACACACTGCAACTCTCACACACACTGCCACCCTCACATACACACTGCACCGCTCACACACACACTGCAGCTCTCTCACACACACACTGCCCCACACATATACTGCCCCCTAACACACACACTGCAACCCTGATCTACACTGCCGCCCTCATGCACTCGCACACACACTTCACCGCTCACACACACACACACTTCCCCACACATATACTGCTCCCTAACACATACCACTGCTCCTATGCCCTATATCCCAGCAGACCCCAGGTAAGTTTTCAAACTATTCTTAAACGGTTTGACTACTTGCTCTGGGATGGGATCCTGGCACCACTGGCGCCATAACTACTACACTGAGCTGTAGTAGTTATTGTGCCTGGATTATTTCTTTAAATAATCTACAAGTGCCCCTCCCGAGATCAGGTTCTGGATCCGCCACTGTGGGTAGAGTGACTTTTTAACACAAACCTGCTAATTTAGGGTGCGTGGAAACTTCCCACGTGTGACCTATAACTGATTCACAACTTAGAGGCAAGGTGTTATTTAACAGTGCCCCAAATATACCACCAGTACTACTGTGAAATGAGTTCCATATCACTTATCTTGAAGTATTTTCTTCTTTTATTTATTTAAATGTGCAACATTTAGACAGAGTTTCCGATTACTGTAGAAATGTAGAATTGTAGGACGTTTATATGCATTTCTCAACAACTAAACATGTACATAGCCTGCCTTACTAAAGTCGCAGCTCACAGTTGTATATTGTTTATGACAATGCCTGCAGATGCAGTAGGGTCTGCCAGTGCTAACCGAACACACATGTTACAAGATAACCATCACTGATGCTAATGGATAATGTGAGCGACTATAAACCCTGTTTAAACCCTAGGATCTAGCTGCTAATATGTCATGCCATTTGTACACAGCATTATCTACTTCCCTTTCAAATGTAGGCCTTCTGCTAAGGAATGACACCATTTATCCTGATAGAATGTCAGTTTATCACTAAATCTGTTCTAATCTCTGACTACAAGCAATTTTATATGAATGCAAAATGTATTGTAGCTTTTTTCTGGGTTTTTTTCTCATTTGTAAACATCAATTTTTTAAAGACTTTTACTTTAAAACTTAAGTTGTCGATGGCCTTGTTTTTTAATTAGAATGATGATGTATGAGTTTGCATTAATATATATTTATAGTCACTCTTATGTTGAAAGTAGTTAAATATACTTGGAAATTTGAATTAAAAAAAAATGTATTTATGTAATTAAATCTATTTATAATTAGGGAAGGATAATTTTTTTTTGTGCACATAACTTCCTGATCATTTTTTTAAAAGTAATATATTGGATATTTTTTTTAAAGTGGTTATTTAGCAGTGGTAGGTAGAATTGAAAAAGGTGTTGTTTCATTGCTGTTGAATGTGATTTTATAATTTATTAGAAGTAGTGATGTCCTGAACTGTTTGCCGAACGGTTCGCCACGAACGGTTCGCCACGGACTCATCATTGAGTAAACTTTGACCCTGTACGTCACAGTCAGCAGACACATTCCAGCCAATCAGCAGCAGACCCTCCCTCCCAGACCCTCCCATCTCCTGGACAGCATCCATTGTGAAGCTGCATTCTTAGTGAGCTGTCCAGGAGGTGGGAGGGTCTTGGAGGGAGGGAGGGTTTGCTGCTGATTGGCTGGAATGTGTCTGCTGACTGTGAGGTACAGGGTCAAAGTTTACTCTATGATGAGTCCGTGGCGAACCGTTTGTGGCGAACCGTTCGCGAACCGTTCGGTGAACAGTTCGGGACATCACTAATTAGAAGAAATAAAAATAGCATGTGCTAGTTGTGAGTAAGTCACAACTCAAAACTTAACGTATTGTTACTTGAAAAATGTTTAAAACAAATACGTGGTTTATAATATTGTGTTATTTTTTTTTGATTCGTCATGAATGACTTTGTTTAAGTCTGCATTCTTTACTGGGCTAGGGAACTTATAAACTTTTTTTTTAAATCAAAATCAAATCCCATATCTGTCAAAGGTTTAAGCGAATAATCTTAATTGCAGCTCGGTCTATATTTGCATTTTCCAGGTTCTGCAAGACAACAAACTAATGAGGACTCTTTCACACCCTAGGAGATTTAAAGATTTTTTAATAAAATAATTGTTATGGGGGAAAGCAGTGAAATTGTAAGGAACAAAACATACACAAAAATAGGCAAAATGTGCAGTTTTATCACGTGGCCTGTTCACAAATATTCCCTGGCCTGCCTAATCATAATTTCTGCTGCATGTAAAAGTGTCTTAGTTTGGTGTAAACAACAGGAGTTTGTAGCCTCTTTCCTCATGTAGGCTGGTAGTATTGGTAATACAAGGGGGGATATTTATTTGGCACACTTTAGGCCACAGTCTACCCATTAAATAATATCTACTTCAGTAAGGTAATTAACCAGGGAACAAAGCACACACATCATCTCAATCTGGTTCCAACGTCGAAAGTGAATTTCAATTTTAAGGCCACGGTAGTTAAATAGTAAGCATGGACAGATTTATCAAGTTTTACCATTTTCACCTTACATTTGAAATTCACTTTGAATACTCCCTTTAGTGAATAATATTTTTTTTTTTCCTTATAGCAAAGCATGAGGCGCCTGGGTGAACCATTAAGTAGGTAAAACCTTAAAAAAAATAAAAAGAGAGTAACCCACAAAAATATATATATTTTTTTTCCTTCACTTTTTTTCTTAACTAGCTAACTTTTTATCCCTCATAACATGTGATTAATTAGATATTTGTTTTGAAGAAACATTTATTTCTAACAGATTATAGTTACAGGGTATTTAAGTCAGCAATTTATGTAAATAACTTTGTTAAAGTTTGCTTCCTTCTCTACAGTGAGATGTATATACATGTGTGTATAACATTCTGAGAGTTAGCCATGTGCATTGCGTGATGGTTGATGCATATTTACGTTCCTCCCAACTCAGGTGTCCATAGATACGGAACACTTGTGTGAGGGGGTACAGGGACGGGCTGTCATTGTCTCTGCTACTATAGTGTCATGTCAGACTGGTGTGTTAAGTCAGCCCACTGCAGGGTCCCTGGTGTTACCAAAAAAGGGACATCAGGGCACTAAGTCGGGATGGTGGGACTGGACCCAAAAATTAAGACAGAATTGAGATGGTTAGAAATCTTGTATTCCTCAGGCTGATATAGCAGGAATTAATGCCTTTTTCTTACAGCGTAGAAGTGTAAGCTTGTATGTTACATACAAAAAAAAATGATTTATACTTTCAATAGCAGCATGGCTAGCTAGCACAATCTATAGATGAAATGTTATTGTCTTTAAAGTGGCTCCATACTATGTTTTCATCACAGATGCACTTTATATATGGTAGATGCATGGAATAGCTTTCCATAAAACATGGTCATAACTATTAAACTGAGGAAATTCAAGCATACCTGCCATACAATAAAGCTGTCGTTTGCAGGATGTTAAGTTTATAGGCAATGCGCAGTAGATGTAGAACTGTAGGTTGCTATCCAAATACAAAGCATTGGTGTTTGTCAATTAAAAGTACTTTGTTTAGAATAATGAATGAAACCATTCTACCTCGATCGCTTAATGCTCAGCTACTGGATGGAATTAATAATTTATTTAGCTAAGCAATATGAAAAATATATAGAAAATGCACGGAGCCATACATTATTTAGGAATGATGGTGTCATCTTAGTTTCTTGGAAAAAAAATGAAACAAAAAATATTGATGTACAGTAGGATGGGGTTTGTTCTGTACTAGAAATAGGATATAGTACTCTATTACCTTAAAAGAACACATTCTAAACAATTCCATGTTCGCGGAGAAGCAAGCTCGTACTGCTATGCCTAATGCAAATAATGTACATGAACAGCTGGATTCTATTACAGGATATACAATTTATCTCCCATTTTTATTTATTGCAGGCTATGGGAAATTGGTCATTCAAATACCAGATATAGCTTTATCTCACGAAATGGAATTCAGCATCAAATGGTTATGTTGAATTTCCTCTTCACAGTGGATTTATGAAAACGCTATAAAACATGGGCAGAACAGCTGTTGCGTACTTTACTAGCTAGGGTTAATCTGTGTGTATGTAGGATAAAATGCTAATTTGTTCTAGACTAAACCTTTTTTTCAAAGTCTTTTTAAGCTACATGCCACATGAACAATACTCACAGTCTGTTTTTTTTAGTTTTTTTTTGTCACTAAAAAGTAAATTGTTGGGAATTTAAAGTTCATTTAAAATTTAAGGTCAAAACTGCTAAAGTAAAAACAAGTCTTGAAAAATCAATTTTGTCTATTTAGGCCTAAAATGTGAAATCCTATTATTGTTTCTAGAGAGTTTTATTTTCCTTTAGTGATGTAGGGTACCTAAGTATGCTATTTACATATAATTAGAAGGGTTTTGTACTGCAAATCTGATGAGAGATGTTAGCGCTCTGACAGCTGCCTTGACAATCTCCACTGCTAATTAACTGGCTTGCACACTAAATCAGGCAATATTTGTGTCCTGTCTCAGCAGCTTTGAGGGGTCAGTTAGATTGCTTAATCAGTGACTGTTGATTTCTGCTTTCCACAGTTAAAACTTTAAAAAAATGTGTTTTGCAATAATCTATATATGGGACCTTAAACAAGGCCTCTCTAATTAAATGAAAAAAGGCTCTCCCAGTGCAGTAGAATTGAGAGTTTGTCACACGCACTAAACCTACCACTGACCACTATTACATGTCTACTGGTGGACACACTGATGCTGTCATCACCTACATCCAATATAATGTGCTGTAAAGTAGTGGTCAATATTAATACATCTGCAAAGATACATGTCGCTGCTACCATAGGCGTGCGCAGCCTATTGCATTAGGGTGTGCACCCTAAAGCACAAACACACGCCGCGCGTGTGTGTGTGTATATATATATATATATATATATATATACATATATACATATATATATATATATATATATACATATATACACATATATATACATATATACACATATATATACATATATACATATATATACATATATATATATATATATATATACATATATATATATATATACATATACATATATATATATATATATATATACATATATATATATACATATATATATACATATATATATATATACACACATATATATATATACATATATATATATATACATATATATATATATATATATATACACACATATATATATATACACATATATATATATATACACATATATATATATATATATATATATATACACATATATATATATATATATATATATATACACATATATATATATATACATACATATATACACACACACACACTCTCACAGACACACACTCACAGACACACACTCACACTCACAGACAGACACACACACTCACAGACACACACACTCACAGACACACACTCACAGACACACACACTCACACTGACACATACTCACACACTCACAGACACACACACACTGACACATACTCACACACAAGAGGTGATGATTCCCCCCCCACCCTGCAGTTCAGCCGCGGCGAGGGAGCTCTCTGCTGTCTGCTCCCTCTCGCCGCGCGGGCTGTCTGCTGCAGCTGGGAGCCGGAATATGACGTCATATTCCGGCTCCCGGCATCAGCGCGCGGCGAGAGGAAGCAGACAGCAGAGAGCTCCCTCGCCGCGGCTGAACTGCAGGGTGGGGGGGGAATCATCACCTCTTGCCCTCCCATGACAGGGGCAAGAGGTGAAACAGGGGGCACTGAGTGCCTGCAGGAACGCTGTTCCTGCAGGACTCAAACCATAGGCGTGCCACGGGGATTAGGGTGTGCCCAGGCACACCCGGCACACCCCGTGCGCACGCCTATGGCTGCTACCTGTAACACTTTATTTGTAAGTTTTGCCTCTGTCAAATAAGAAAAGTGAAATAACTGTCAGCCAGGCTAGAAAATAAGATTTCTGTTTTTGTTTTGTTTTTTTGCAAAGAGATGTGAGATGAATACATTGTTCTATATTAATAAGGAACATGAAGTTACCAGGGAGATTAAGCCTTGGTACATTCAAGAATGCATATATTGTTCTAGCAGCTTAACCCATTCAGATACCAGATGATTGAACAGAATATTTCTTTATAGGCTGCAGAGAGTAGAACGCCCCAAACCCTCCATTATGGAGGTGAGTTAGCCACTAATAATTACAGGTAAATGGAGGGATGAGAGGTGAAAATACGTATACGTGTATATCAACATGGGTGGCAAAAAAGATTGCAAGCGTTCTGGGGAAGATGCCAGAGGGTTGTGCATGTCAACATGTAAACTAAAATAACTAAACTAAAGCTAACTAAAAGTTCGACCAAAAAAATGTGAAGGTCAGCTGAATACCCATTGGGGGAAAACAGTTTACAATAAGTTTACAATATGTTTTCGATTATAGTTTACACTATAGAGTTTGCAATTAGCTTTTTTGCATTAAGGTGGACACTCAACATCCGTATTAAAATTGTTCTTTTCTTCTCTGCATTTCCTACAGCATGTAGAATATATCGGTGCCATAAAAACAGAATGATTTTGCATTTCATTGTACAGCGCTACGGAATCTGATGGCGCTATATAAATAATAAAATAATAATAATAATTACAGCTGGGCCATATTTAGTGCAACATCAACTT